AAATATATTTTTCTTATTCTTATTTAAGTTGGATAAGTTACTAAAATATAAATTTTATCAAATAATAAATATAAATATTGATTTTAATTAAAATTATTCATATTGAACTTTAAAAGAATGATAAAAGAGAAAAATTTTTACATCTATCTTCTAAAGAATACTTTTAGAAAATCAGATAATAAAGGAGTAGAATAAGTCACTAAAAAATGTCTAATTAAAAAAATTAAACAAATAATAGAGTTATATAAAAGACAGGTGGGTAGAAAATTTCCTTTAGAGTAAAGGAAATTTCTACCGTCCTGTCTCTTATATAACTGTTACGACTGGTTTAATTTTTTTAATTAGACTTATTTTTTAGTGAAAACCATTAAACTTCACTAATAACTAATTACTAAAGTTGAGTAATTAGTCATTAGCAAAGTTCCAAATCTTGATGTTGTAATATTTCAAAAAGTTCATTAACAAATGTACTGGTCCAATTATTTCGAATAACACAATCTAACAGTTGTTAATTAAAGATACTGAATTATATTGAATTATCAGCATTAACTCTCTGTATTATTAATAGGTTTTTCTTTTGAAAAATAGGACTATGCATGAGATTTTGCTCATGAAGTCTTTTAAACAGTATATCAAGTGCCAAGTATATACTTAGTATATATATATATATATATATATATATATATATATATATATATATATATATATATATATATATATTATATCATATACCCAGTTTTTAACTATTTCTTTCAATAACTGTATCAATTTCAATATCTGTATCAATATTAACACGATTCTCAAGTAATTATATGTTTAAAAGTATATATATATAAATTAGCAAGAACCTGTCTATAAGTCGCTTTTCATTAGGTGTTTTTAAAATTCTCCTTGCATCTTTGGGAAGTTCCAAACCTTGATTTGGCACTATTTCAAGAAGATCATTAACTAATGTACTGGTCCCATAGAATAGCACAATGTTGTCGAGTAAAGACTATTAGTCGTTGTAGAAAGACTTCTTTTGTAATTGAAAAAAATCCTTATTACTTGAAAATTTTAGAAAGTTTTAGCGCTTGCGTGATATAACTAATTTTTTTTTGATCTAATATAGCATTCTGGATATTTTTTGGACGAAAAAATTATTGGACGCGAAAAAGACGTTCAAAAGACGTTTAGAATTTTAATGGGACGGACGGACCCGATTTGAACGTCCTAAGGACGTCTTTTTTACGTCATGTGCCTACTGGGATGTAATATATGTAAACTTTTCTAATAATTACAAGTCTTTTTTGGTCAAAAAGTTTTGTTTTGATTTTTTGTAGTTATGTTATTATATTTTAAAAAATTGACAAGATTGAATCACATCCAAGTGGAAAATTTGAAACTTCAACTTTAAATTTGCCCCTCTCTCGATAATTTTTGATTGCTAAAATTACGTCATCTGCTTATTAGACCTTTAAAAATGATAGTCATGGAAATAAGATTTTTTTTCAAAAACTCTATTAAAGATACAGTAAAACCCTAATTCCGGATGGTTTAGTACTTAAATCATCATAACTCGCTTATTATAAAAGACTTTGGAATAATTTTTTTAAATAAATAAACTTTATAACAAGGCAAATCGAATAATGTAAAAAAACTATTTTTGTAAATTAAATTTCTATTTTATTTTATTTTTAAAAAGTATTGTTTTTATCAGAATTAGGTGTCTATGTCCCTAATTCCGGATGCGTATAAAATATAAAAAAAACACACACAAATAATGCAAACATTAAGCTAATTAGTTTAATCCATAAAACAAATTGAATTGTTTAATTAAAAAAGAAAATATATTATTTTATTCACATTCGTTACAATAAATTACATAGTTAAACGATATCTCACGACACATGCAAGGCAAGACCAATTAGAACACTGCTCACATGGAAGCCATTGGTTATCTAAGCTATTGCCCAATATTTTTTGCAAGAATAACAAAGACGATTATAAGATACTAAAGTACTATTTGAAGCTTGAGGTAAATGTGGGTCTTCTGATTGATTCTTTGACTTTTGACCTTTTTTACCTGGTGTTTCAGCCGACTGACTTTGTTTCAATTTTTTTTTCTTCTCTTTTCTGTGTATTTTCTGCTTTTTGAGTAGTAGTGGAATCTTTATTTTGCTCTCTCAATTTCTTTGGAGCTTGTTCATCTAAGTTTTGTTTATTTGATGCTTGCTCAGCTTCATCATATTATAATTAGCTGGTTGCTCTATTCTCTCACCTTTTTGAACTCTTTTATTTAGAGTTGGAGTCAATTGATCACAAAGCATAATTAACACTTATTTGTTTATATCTTTTCCCGCTTGTTGAACGGCATTATTCAAAGTAGGAAAGCTTTTAAGCAAAAATTTATGATTTGACATTCTTGATGGTGTGTTAGGTGTATTGGTAGCATTTCCCAAAACTAATGGACTAGATACTGTTGAAGTATCAAATAAATTTTCAATATTATTGTTTTTAACAGCTTGAAACAGCACCGATGGAAGTTTTTTTAGAAAAAATTTGCGAACGATTTAGTGGAAATATACTAGTATTTTTGAAACCACTCCTTGCATTTTCAGGTTTACCCACCATTTTGGATGAGACCCTTAAGCATGGCTGAAAAATGTTGATTTGTCAAGCTTTGAAAGTGATTTTTAGTCAAATAATTTTCGACTATTCGCTTCGATTTACCTTTTATTGTTTTAAAAACGCCAACATCTAATGGCTGTAAAAAATGGCTAGTATTTTGAGGCACATAAAATAATAATTACCTCTATCCGGATTTAGGTGTCTTTTTTTTTTTGCTGGTAGCAAATTTTTTTTTAATTTTTTTCAATTAATTCAAAGGGTAATTAAATTTTTTTTAACTCAAATAATCTGCATAAAATAGTGCTTTACATTTTAATTATTTCGTTCCAAATTTAAGTTATTATTTTTCTTTTTTTGGCTAATTTATTTTTGTTACATTTCAAATTTAAATCTTTCATGATTGCATTATTTCATATAATTATTTTTTTATACTATTTAATTTGTTTGGTACGTTTGGACGTTAATTAATTAGAAATTCGTTATATTAGGCGAGTTATGAAACTTTTTATTAAAACCATCCGGAATAAGGTTACATCCGGAATTAGGGGGTTTTACGGTATATGGAATATATTTTTGTGGTATATATTCTAATGAAGACAAAAACTATTTATTACTATTGTAATAAATACAATCTTTTATCCGTGAAAATGATATATCTGTACCAGGTTTATATATTTTTATGCATTTGTATGCAACATAATTAAAATTAATTAAAAAAATGTAATATAAATGCAAAAGGAAACTTGACCCATAAAGGTTTATTTTGTCACAAACTGACGTCAATGCAAATCCTTTTTGGCTTGAGTTTTTAGATCAGCGTTTAATATTATTCTTTAGTTCTTAATCATAATCATAAAAATGACTTTTTTTTATGACTATGTTTTAGTGCTCTAAAATATTCTTAGTTCCATATCAAATGGAACTAAGAATATACAAATGATTTGTATAGCGTACAAACGTCTGTAAGTGTACACGTCTTTAGCATATGTTGAGTTTGCAGGCATTATATGGAATAATCACGTATATCTATATATTTATAAAATGAGAAAAACTTAAAAATATTATTTTTAATTTTAGAAATCTTTTTTGCTATATTATTATTTTTTTACTATAAATATATAAGCAAGATTAAAAAAATTTCAAAATTTATTAGGCTAAGAGCATGTCTTAAACTCTTCAAAACAACACTGATGACAGTGCACTTAACCACTGAGCTATCAATGGAATGCATTTAGCATAAAAACAAACCTAATTATAAGTCTCTTATAAGCTCTATGTATGCGAAAAAGGTGCGCATATTAAGTTTTTTGCTCCTAAAATTTTTTTTCAGAATAAATTATTTTACTAAAAAATATTGAAGTAAATAATGAATAGGTATAGAAATAATCGGTGAGGAATAGATATGCAAATTGGTAAAGACTTGTGTTTTACGAATCCGGAAAGCTAGGATATATAAGGAAAAAGTATAGAAAAGTTCCGTTTGGAATAGATTTACAAAGAGCCATATTTTTACGGGTCTGATCTTAGCTAGTTATAAAGTAAAAGTTGAAAAACATATATATATATATATATATATATATATATATATATATATATATATATATATATATATTAGGGTGGGTCAAAAAAAAAATTTTTCTTGTTACAGACTCTAAACATTGCTAATAGTTATTAATATTGATACTATCAAATATGAGAATGATTGTGATAGATTTAAAGGGCGCAACTTTATTGGGAAAATTACCGGTATCCTAATATTTTGGAAAAAAAAAGTTTTTCAAAAGTAGGTCAACCTGGTATTCAAAAGAAGCGAAATTTTATAAAAAATTCGAAAATAATAATCGTTTTATAAAAATCATATTGCTAAAATAAAATTGTTGTTAAAAAACATGTAATAATGCACCTTTTTCACTTTTAATTAAAAAACTATAGTTATTATGCAATAAAATCTAAAATAATAATTTTTATATGAAAAAATTATTATTTTTTAAATTTTTATAAAATTTCGCTCTATTTGAGTACCTACATCACATAATTTTGAAAATTTTTTGAATAATAATAGGGTCTGCTAATTTTTGTAATTATAGTTGTGGGTGGAAGACATTGTTCAATCCATAAAAGTAAATACTTTCCTAAATTAGTACATAAAAAAACAACTTTCTAGCAATGTTTAGAACCTGTAACAAGAAAAAAAAATTTATGACCCACCCTAATATATATATATATATATATATATATATATATATATATATATATATATATATATATATATATATATATATATATATATATACATAAATATATATATATATATATATCATTTTTTTGTTTTTGTTTATATATATATTTATATATAAAAGTAAATTTTTTAATAATTTTTTTTGTAAAAGGTGGAGGAATAAGCACACGTTCGCTATCGCAAGGAAAGTATCTTCGAAGCTATGAGGGTTGCGTCCAAAATTTCATCTTAGATGGAGATGTTAGTTTTGTATTAGGTCCAGATGAAGCCTGGAACATACTACCTTGCGAATGATTATGAAATAAAATTAATGTAATAAATCAAATAACTTTTGGTATAAATATTATTACTTTAAATACATCTTTAAATTTGGTTTCATATTCGTCGTGTCTTGTGGTATGTGCCTTTTCAAATAAGTACCTCCTTGAAATTGTTTCAACAAAAATAGTTAGGTATTATTACATCGTATTTTTGAATGCAACAAATTTAAATCTTAAACTTTATTGTATAGAAAAATCCAAAAAAAAAGTTTCAACTCTCAAGTTTTTTATGTTTACGTCTAATTTTCCACCATCTTGGTGAAAAATTAAATAGTTTAAATAAAAACCTAAAATAAATTGTTTCAACAAAAAACTTAAAATTTCGCTTTCTATGACCTATGTATGTGTATTGTGAACGATGTTAGGGTAAGTAGCTTTTAAATAGAATAGAATATCTTAATCTATATTAAGTTTATTTATGAAAGTTTTTAGCTTTTAAAAGTAATGATCAGTGTTTATGTTGTTAAACGTTTTGATCATTATGTTTATTGTTAAACGTTTTTCAATGCGGCTTTAAAGCGGCTGTATTGAAGTCAACATTTATTGCAAGCATGAGGTATCATTTTTTAGACTTAAAAGAATAATGAATTTGAAAAGGTGTTTTAAATTCCAATAGGATACGAAGTTGCAAAAAAACGACTACAAATGCAATGCAGATACAAAATTGCACTTGATTACTTACTTTGTGTGGGAAAATTAAATAATATGTTGGAGAGTTAAAAACTTTTAGTTTATTTTTAGTCCATTTTTTATCTATTTGAATAATAAAGAATCAGAGAATGCGATCTATATCCTGTATTCTATATAAAACAATAGAAAAATATAAACAATGGGAAAATGCTTGCTTCTGTCTCCACTTCGTTTATGATATTACCGTAATTACTTTGTTTGTTTGCGCATCGGATTGTCATGGTTCTTGTTTCAACTTAGTGTGGACTTTTTTTTTTCGATTTATACTTTTTTTGCAAGCGAACTAATTGAAACATTACAATTTTTATGTAACTTGTCCAAAATAAACTTTCTTACTTCTACATGCAAATACATACTCTTTGTTTACATCGAGTTTTTAGAAAAGGAAATCAATTTGGTTTAAAGCATCATAAAAATATTTTAAAATATGTTTGAAATATTTTAACTTCTCCCCCACCAAAAACTCCTGGATCCAACCCGGGAGAAGTTAGAATATTTTTGTATCACATTTGCTTCTTCTTTAAAAAAAAAGATCCTTATTTCTAAGATTTTTTAGGACTCTCCGATTAGTGGGGTAGGGGATGCATACGGGGGCATCCCCCTTGATCCGTCGCTGGTATCAGTATAAATTTTGGAAAACTTTAATGAAACAATATTAACAAAGATAGTGGAAGAAGGGAGTGGAGAATGGGGGTAGATAAATTCTTAGGAGGAGGGGTGGGGTAGTTTTTAGAAATAAAAATTTTGGTTGGAGGGGTGCTAATTTATTAAAATCGATGAGATTTTTTACCAAAATTTGAGATTTAAAATTTAAGATAGCTGTCCTACGAGTTATTTATCATTGTAGAATCCAAATAATTTAAAAACTTTGATAGATTTCCCAGAGACAAAGAAAAAAAAACTCGTTGGATAGAATGTTTACCTAATGTGAGTTTATCGCTAGTTTACATCTCTACCCCCCTATTTTAATTACTAATTATGATAGAGAATTTTACTCAACCCGGTTTTTATTGCCGTCAAAATTAAATTTTATTTAAATCAAATTGAATGTTTTTATGATTATATCTTTTTTAATTATTTTAAAACCACCCCCTTCTTCCACTAATATTATTTCATTTGTTAATTTTTTAAATTCGAATATTAGCCTTTTTTAGAACAATTTTTTAAACTTCATTATCCAATTAGATTGATTTTGACACCTATGCACAAGCCAGAATTGTCTAAAAATGGCAAAACTATTTATGGGTTAAATATAAACAATATGATTCATGTTTATAGAGATTTTTAATGCTAAAGATTTTAATTTTGGACTCCATTTTAATTTTTGGAGTGGTCATGACCAACAAGTGGTTATTTTAGGGGTTGTCAAAGTTGATTATGGGGATTCTCGATGGTTTCTAAATTAGGTGGGACATGTTTTATATCTAAATATAGGTAACTGCTGTCAGGGAATTTGAATCTGGGCATATGCGGTCTTTAGAAATGGTCATGGCCACTCAAATGGTCATTTTAGTAGTGGCCAAGGGTGGTCCTGAGATGTCCCGATATTTTTTAATTAGATGGGACATGTTGTATGTCTAAATATAGGTAGTTGCGGTCATGGAATTTGAAACTGGGCATATTCGTTCTTTAAGAGTGGTCATGACCGCCTAGGTGATCATTTTAGGGGTGGTCAAGGATCCTGGAATATTCGAACGGTTTTTCAATTAGATGGTACATGTTATATGTCTAAATATAAGTAATTGATATCAGGAAAATCAAATTTGGTCATATTTGGTCTCCAGGAGTAGTTATAATCGCACAGGTAGGTGTCGTCATGGGTTATCAAGATATTTATAACCCATGTTCTTAACTTATTTGATATTGTGAATATAAACAAATAATGTTCAATAAAGTTGAATTTTATTAACATACTATATATATATATATATATATATATATATATATATATATATATATATATATATATATATATATATATATATATATATATATATATATATATATATATATATGTATATATATATATATATATATATATATATATATATATATATATATATATATACATATATAGGTGATGACATATATCATACATTAGTACATCAAGATACCATTGGCCTCCTCAGGTTGATTGGAATTTTTGACTTTTCCCTGAATCTTTCTTATTCTGGATATCTTAGTAACGTAGCTGCAAAGCATTTTCATCATAAGATCATAATTTGTTTGAGGCCTGGAGAATTTCATTGTGTAGTGCTCTAAGTTGTTTTAGTCTAAAGCATTAATAATAGGGTGTATGAGATGACTATTTTTCACAATTAAACAGGGGTGTGGAGTTGTAAAAAAAAGGGAACTCCAGTTGTTGAAATTTTTTGAGTACAACTCCGACTCCAACTCCGATTCCGACTCCAATTCCAAAGCAAAATTTTTGAAAAATTCATTGAATTCTTTAAAAAATATTGCCCGATAAGTTGAATTTTTTTTTTTTACAAATTTATGGAACATTCTTTGATGTTTAGTATGAACATAAGGTTAATTGAATGTTTTGTACATGCACGTGCAATACCAAGAAATTTTACTATCGGAGTCAGAGTCGCGATATTTTTTAGCGACTCCGACTCCGGTAAAATTGTCGCAACTCCGACTCCACAGCCCTGCAATTAAATTACTGTTTTTCCATTTTATGGGTGTTATTTAAATGAACAAAACACATTTGACATATTTAAAGTACAATTTTCTAGATGAAAACGGCATTTTAGAAAAGTTATTTAGACGACATTAAAACTGAAAGTACTATTTTTATATATGATGATGTAGTTTTCTCGTTTTCAACACAAAGAGAAATTAAAAAACTTTTTTTCTCGTAAAAAAGCTAATTTTAACTCTTTACTAAACTCACCTCTTCATTTTACATAAATAAAAATATTTTTGCATACATAAATCAAAGTAATAAATACTCTCTTCAATAACGGATCCAGCATTTTTTGGTGTTTGAGATTTTTTGTATGTTTATACTTATGTCAAATAATGATTATGTCAAATAATAATGCAAAAAATTGCGATGATTGGAGGCTGGGAACAAATAAGCCCCAATATTTTGTCAACCACCACCCATCCCAAACGTGAGGGCAACAAGTTGATAAATATATTTTGCACTATTCTTAATTAGACTTGTATTCATCGATAAATTTTAAGTTTCATAGTATCATCTCTCAGCGTTCTAAAATTATGACCGTATAAAGTTTAAATCTCCGTCGATTTGTGGGGGTTACAATTTTTATATGATCATAATTGTTGAACGCTGAAAGATAATACTATGAAACTTAAAAGTTATGGATGAATATAAGTCTAGTTGAGAATTGTTGAAAAATATTTTATTTCCTTGTTGCTCTCACGTTTGGGGTGAGGTAGGGATGAAATTTTGGGGTTTATTTGTTTCCAGCCTCCAAATCCTTTTATGTTTCTTATTCTTTCATAAAATGTTCCATAACTTTTCACAATAACATTAAAAGCACACTGTTAAAAATTCCCGTACTTTTACGGAATTATGAGCACACTAATAACACAATTTAAAAATACAAGTTAAATAAGTCCACATTGCACATTTTCCAGGCCAACATCTTCAGTGTTATAATGCCTGAATGGGGTTCGTGACCCTTTTAAGCAGAGTAGGGAGGCTCTAGTAATCTCCATGGAAAGACATGTCCTTAGCAAATTTATAACAGCTCCGTACCGCTCACCCATTTTTAAGGACAGTTTTTGTGCGAGTAGTGCCGTGAAGCGTTTGCATTCGTCTCCAAACCCACCATTCGTACCAAAAATTAATGGAGTAATTGTCCCGTGTTCAACCTCTAGAACTCGTTCTAAATACTCACGTTTTTTTTGCATCTTCATGCCTACGGAATATGTGTTTTGTTGGTTGTTTTTTGGTGGAATATGTGTTTATGTGTTGTTTTTTGGTGTATGTTGTTTTTTGGTGGAATATGTGTTTACGGAATATGTGTTTGTTGGTTGTTTTTTGTTGGTTGTCTTTTACGGAATTATTTTCCGTTATTTGTACGGAAACTACCCATTTTACAAAATTGAACGGAAACTTTCTTTCTTTTAAAATAAATTTTGAAACACGGAAATTTCCGTTGGAAAAAGGTTTTATTATGGAAGCTAAAGTAAAATTTTGACATACAAACTTGTCACATTAAAAAGCAATTTGAGAGTTTTTAGCTACCGCGTTTTTTAAATATAATCAATTCTAGTTTATGTGCGTGTGTATATATATATATATATATATATATATATATATATATATATATATATATATATATATATATATATATATATATATATATATATATATTTATATATATATATACATATATATATTGATATTTAATTATGTAAATATGTTTCGATTTTTGACCACAATCAGTAAAGTAAAATAGTTTTTCATCAGTTGTAATGACTTTTTTCCAGTTACTCAGAAATAATTGGTGGTTTGTCTTTTTATTAATAAGTTTCTCACCTGAAAAAGTTAACATAAATTTAGCTTTAATGGTCAATGCCAACAATCAACTTTTTTGCCATTTAAATCATCTTTTCTTTTAATTCTCACCACGTTTATTTAACTCTACTAATGGTGGTTATTAAAACTTTGATTGATTCCTTTTCTAAAAATTTCTTAATCGTTCTATATTAGGTATGCGGATTTCGCGTTTCACGGAACCGATAAATCTACTAAAATTTTGTTCCACGCATATGCGTGGAACAAAATGCGCATTTTGAAGTTTGGTTTTAGTGAGGGAGGTTGTACCGACCTCTGTCAATTAACTTTTTAGAGTTTCATATTAACATAGATATTTTTTTAAGAATAGAATGATTAAACTTTAAGAATAAATCTTTATTTGATAATATAATAAATTTTATAAGTGGATTTATTGATGCTGAAAATATTGTTGCACTTCATGTATTCCCCAAACATAGCAGAAATGTAAGGTTATTTTCTATAATTTAAGTTTTTTTAAGTGTATACATTTCCTATGCACTTGCCAAAAATTTTTGAAAAATAATGATGTCCACTATCTCTATTTTAGTGCACACTTTTGGTACCCAATTTCTATGTATCGGAAAAAAAAAAGGAGGAGGGGGAGCTTGGAGGTGTTTAAAAGGTAAATAAGTTTTCTTTCGACTAATATTGTTTGTCAAAATATTATTAGTATAAAATATTGTCATTAATAATATTATGTACTTATCAAAAAAACATAACTGTTTAAAAAAGGCATAGTTTATTTCACATAAACTATATAATAATTAAATCAATTTATGATTTAGATAAAAATGAATAATGCCATTGTCAGTGAAATTGAGAAATTAGTTTCTGACAGTAAGGATTATAAACTTTTGAAAAATTTGTCTTGATCTTTTAATTGTTAAAAGTATCGTTTATGTGTTAATAATTAATATAAGTGATTTTCCCTCTTACAAATTTAAATATCAGAACTTCTCCTTCAATAAGCCTTAACAATAAAATAGTGATTACTATTACGTACTTTATAAGTTGATTTCTTGACATGCAAAACTTTGTTAACTTTGCACATCCAGCAAATACCGAAGATATGGACAGCAATTAAGATTGTTTCGCAGCCATTTAAGTTTACCTATTTTTTATTTGTCTGCCAAATTTCGTTGAAAAAAAATGGGGCCCAAGCAGTCTATTTTGGGGCCCACTTTTGGTACCTATTTTCCTTAATCTGAAATTTTTTGCGGGCGATCGGGGGGTGCAAAAAAATCGAATTGAAAAAAAATAAAACTTTTTTGTAAATTTTTTATTTTTATTAAATTTTACTTTTTTTAGATAAAATGAGTGAAGAGATAAATTGTAAGATTACCAAAATTTTTATTTTCATTTTCCAATTAATTTATTAGTTATCTTTTATGCAAATAGTATCACTATTTACTTAGATAAAATAATACTTAGTAATGCTAAGACTTTCTAATCTTTGTCTAATCTAATAACAGTATTTCTGAGTAATTGTATTGTTTATTTAATAAGAAGTACATAATGGTAGAAATTTATGTTTCTATGTATGATTCTATGTATCAAAATCAGAATCTATATCAAATAATATTGATATAATAATACTATTAGTACTATTACTAATAGTATTATATACATATATATATATATATATATATATATATATATATATATATATATATATACAAATATACATATATATATATATATATATATATATATATACAAATATACATATATATATATATATATATATATATATATATATATATATATATATATATATATATATATATATATATATATATATATATATATATATATATATATATATATATATATATATATATATATATATATATATATATATAGGCTTCGGCACGAATAAAAACCGTACGGGCTATGAAAAGCCCGTCTTAAATAGACTTGGCGGGCTATGAGGGCCGCCCGTCTAGATGGTCTTGCACGGGCTTTTTTAAACTTTAAAAAAAATTCTAAAGTTTGAACTTTTTTTTTTTAAATTTGTTAATTTCTCTTCTTCTTTTTGAATGAAAATGTCATTGAATATTAAACATTTTGTGAATTGCACTAAAATAATATGTTAGAAAGCGATTAACTGTTTAAAATGCTTAATTACTTAAGTAATTAAAACACTGCAGTAAATGAGTTGGATAATACTTAAAACTAAGATTTCAATAATTGTTTTTCAAAGTTTTCACTTGCACAGATCTAATTTCGTTTCACGTGGGTTAGTTGTTTTATGGTTGCTTTTGTTTAGATTTCTTACTCGAAGGAACTTTATTCAGTTTTTTATGTTTTTTTTTTTAATCTTTATTCCAGATAATATCTGGCAAGATATAGTCAAACGAATAAACGTGAAAACGACGGGAAAAATCCTCGAAACAACCATGGCGTTTCATCACGTTTCCTTATTCAAGCATCCTAACGTGTTCTTTTACCAAAGTCTTTTTGAGTATATTTATATATTATTGTTTTATTCAAGTATTCGATTAAATTATACAGGTTTTTATCGTGCTTTTTTAGTTCATTCGTTTCTCTTATTCTTTGTGAATAAAAATATTACATAATATTTTCCAAATCTAATTTTTTTAATTATTCAGCAAATAGTTTGAAATCTTTTTTTTTTTTAACCTTGAATCAATGAGCTCGATAGTTTTAGAATTGTTTGGTATTAGCTTGGTAATATGATACGTAACTATGTTATTTTTCAAATTCAATTATTTATATACTCTTGCATTCTATTGGGCGTGCAAATTAAAAACTTAAACTGTTATTTATATTTTTATAACTTTGCTTTACCTATGCCTATCCTGATCGGAAATAGTTATTCTGATACGTGAATAAAAATTTTGAAATCTAATTTCTTTTAATAAAATAAGTTTTTATTTAGAAGTACTAATAATTTCTTAAGATACCGGGGCTTCCGTTACTTTATATACAATATAAGCATGTATATAAGCGTATGTATGTTGCTAGCTTTAACGTTCGTAGTGCCCTCTATAAATGCTAATGCTTTTGATTTTGCCAGACCTTTTAACTCGCGAAGCAATTCTTTTTTATATTTTATACAAACCATACACCATATCTTCACAACAAAAATTGTTCCATTCTCCACCTCAGTTTCTTTTCCACAGACTCCATCTTTACCCCAACTCAAAAATGTTGCTAATGTAACTCTTCTACCAGATGATGCCATTACTATCTTTACTGAAAAACTTGAATAACTTGAAAAACTTGAATGACTGGATAACTTGAATAACTTCATAACTATAAAGCAACACTATTTATATTATCTACAAAAATTGATTAGACGTTTGCTGATTTTTAATGAGATATTTCATTTTCAATAACGAGTTATATAATTGCATATTAAATAAACTGCCGTCTCTTTAAGAAAAAACGTGAAGTTAACGCGGAAGTTAACGCGGAAATATCACTTTAAATGTCTTTAAAGTAAGACAAACTAGTTTATCGGAAAAAAGCGAAATACATGGATAATTAGTTTATTATCGTTATTATTATCAACATTGAAAAACCAAAACAACATGATACTTCTTGTGCATCACATGTGTATATTTCCCTATTTAATATAATAGTTATTAAATTTTGAACATAATATGGTAACTGTTTGGTATTATATCAAACAGTTATCGTCGTTTAAAAAACTGTAAGATTTAGTTATATTATTTTCTACATCATGTTATACAATAATGATTAAATTGTTTAATTTTTATATTTAAATATAAACAATTATAAGTTGGAGTTTGCTATCCACATTAAAATTATGTCATGAGAGAAGTTTTAAAATAGTATCTTAATAAAAAAACATGACGGGCTTTATTTCGCTCGTCTAAACTGACTTAGACGGGTGCGGAGACGGACACGGGCTATAGCCCGTCATTCCTGCCGAAGCTACCGAAGCCCGAAGCTACCGAAGCCCGTCATTCCTGCCGATATATATATATATGTATATATATATATATATATATATATATATATATATATATATATATATATATATATATATATATATATATATATATATATATATATATTTGTTTAAATAAAACTGATATAAGTTGTTTGAAATAGTTGATTGTTTAGATGCACAAGCTATTGAAAGCTTATATGAAAAATTAAGTTGGTAATTCTATTTTGTTATTTAGTTATTATTTATTTAATTATTTAGTTAGTAATTCTCATTTATTGAATCTATTTTATTCTTAATTCTATTTATATTAAAACTGCTTTGTTATTTTATTTATTATGTTTTTATATAATCTTATAATAATATAAAATTCTAACAATGTAAATCACAATGAAAATAAAATATAACTGTAATGAACAACAAAAATAAAAATAAAAACCATTATTATAGTTATAACTTTTTTTTTAAGTTATATGTTCGCAATTGGTTATTTTTCTTTTTTTAGACACTATGGAGAATACAATAGGTATGCATTTTATTGTATCGTCTAATACTTTGTTAAAAATAAATTATTGTTTTTCAATCTCAGATTTATTTACTATTAGTTACTTATTTATTTTTTAGACAATTTAGTTAACGCTTGTAAGTAAATTTTGTATTTGGATTTAAAAAATTTAATATGCAATTTATGTATAAGACCAATTTTGAATATATAGTTTGTGTATATGAAGCAATAACTTGAAAATTGTGTTATTACTAATTTTTTTTATAAATAGGTTTATAATAATTGTTATTCTTTAGTGAAACCTTCATCAAGTTCCTCAAGAAAGTTTTTCATGGTAAAATGGTAGTTCAGTGGTCTATTCAGGCAGCACGTAGAAAACAAATAAAAACTCGACTATTCTGAAATTAGAGCTGAGATTTCTATACCAATAATATTGATATCAATCAATAATGGTTTAGTTAACTATAATCAACTGTTGTATTTTTTGTTTATTTTGCATTTTTCAATAATTTTCTTTTACTTATAATATGCTATCGATTATACTCTACAGAATATAATCGTTTTTATTTGCAAAGTATGACTTCGCTTGAAAAATTTTCCTATTTTTTTGTAAAATTATTAATTTATTTAAATATATCATATTACACTTTACTTACTTTTATTTCTCTTTATACCTTTTATTTCCTAAATAAATATTAGACTATAAAAATATTAAGACTATAAAACGCCAAAAATCAATGAAAAAGAAAAAAGAAAGTTAGAGCAACAATTAACATAACTATCAGTGAAATTCTGAATTTGTTTAAAAACTTATCTACTAAGCAAATTGATGATTTAAATGATGTTATGTGTGAAAGAATTGTTGGGAGAAATTTTTGCCATGAATGGTATGATTCCGATACAGCAATGACAGTCTTGTATAATGGCAGAGTAGAAAAACTTAAAAAAGCACAGAAAGGCATTATATACACTATTTCTTATTGGACTAGAGAAGAAAATGATACTGAAGCAGTTGATTATTATATGAAAAAATTCCAGCTAGTTGCTGACATTGTATCCAGTGAGTTGATGTTTTCCTAATGTAAATATGTTGCATTTATTTTTTTATTATTGGAAATGCATTTGATAATCTTGCTACTTTATTTTACTATGGTTGACTCTCTATTTCTCTATCTCTCTCTCTCTCTCTCTCTCTCTCTCTCTATATATATATATATATATATATATATATATATATATATATATATATATATATATATATATTAGGGTGTCCCAAAAAAAAAAAATTTTTTTTTTCCTTTAGTTTTGTGTGTAGTTTTGTCCGTTAAAAGTGAAAATAAGAAGATTTTTGAAAAATTTTGAAGTTTGACCCCCCCGCCCTTCTTTTAAAGTTTTTACCCCCTCTGCCGCCCACTTTTTCAAAATTATTCACTTTTAAACTGATTTTAGGCTAAATATATAAATGTATTAAATATGTTTTGTATCAATATTGATCACTATTATAATTCTAAACTATGTATCATAGCTAATATTAGTAAATATAATTTGTTTCAATTCAACGATTCTCAAAAATTATTAAATATTATTATTCAATGCTTGAGATGAGAAAATTTTTTATGATGAATATTAATGTTACATACATTATTCAAATAATTTTATAATTTATAGCTACTTTTTTATCTATAGATATAATAGCATATATAAAAAATATTTGATCAGTTATGAGCAATTGTAAATTGAGGAAAAATGATGAGAAGTTTGATAATATTGTTGGTAAATTATTACCTACCCTTGAAGCAAAGATGTATAGTCAGCTACCAACAAATGGAGATGTTGTACGCCATTATCTTTATCTTACAAGATTTGAATTGAAATTAACTGGTAAAAAAGAAGTTGCATCTGTAGTTTGGGAAAAAGTTTATGTTTTTTGGAAAATGGCAGGAATTCCAATAAAACAGAAGAAAGATATTGTCAGAATGATACTACATCTGATTCATCTTAGAGAGAACTTGATTAAAAATGCAAAAAAAAAATGTTATGCAGCTCAACTTCTGAGTTTTACTAATAAACTATCATTATTGTTTGATATTGCAGCATCAAATGCCGAAAATTTGATAAGAAAAGATACCTTGCGTAGTATCAATAGTCAGATCTCAGATATAGACTTTCTCTCAGATCAACGTCACTTAAAAAAGCAATTTTTGGGCCCATTAGACAAGAGTTATGCTATGAAAGTGAAAAGAATGGAGGAAAAAGAGAAAAATAAAATCAAGGCTATTGAAAAAGAGAAATCTAGAAAAGAAAACATAAAAGAAAAAAGCTTCAATGTATTGGCAGCATTTGATAATGAAGGCAAAACTCATAATAAAAATGAAGAAAGTACTATTGCTAGACAGAAAAAAAAAATCAAGATATTAGAAAACCCTAAAGTTTCCTTAATGGCTGATAGGTTGAATCTATCCAACAGAGAAAGATCTGGAATCATTTTAGCTGTAGCTGAAGCATTAGGTCACAATTTAGATGAAATATCTATCTCAAAAAGCACAGCGTACAGATCAGGTAATAAAATTCGACAGCAAGTTTCAAATGATCTTAAGAAAACATTCATTTCACCCATGTACTCTTCCATTCACTGGGATTCAAAGCTGGTATCTGAGGTCGATGGTAAAGTGGAACGTTTGGCTATTGTTGTAACAGGAAAACCAAGTGCACCTGAAGGGAAATTGTTGTGTGTATCCAGGATTCCTGATACAACTGGGCGAAGTCAGGCAACAGCTACCATAGATGCTGTAAAGACATGGAAACTGGAAAAAACACTTGTGGCAATGATTTTTGACACAACTCCATCAAATTCAGGTTGGATAAATGGTTCTGCAAAGTTAATTGAAGAACACTTTAACAAAAAGTTACTTTGGTGCGCCTGCCGACACCATATTTTTGAAAGAGTTTTGTCATCTGTTTACTTCAAAGTTTTTGGAGAATGCAGATCTCCAAATTATGAGCCATTTAGACACTTTAAAAATGAGGTATGGCCTAAGCTTTCATTAACTTCAGATACTACTTTTAGAAAAATAAAGATCGAAGAACCAGTATTAAAGACCAAAAAAGCAGAAGTAATAATTTTTTTGTCTGGTTTACTTAACCGGAAATCTCGAAAAATATTAAGAGATGATTATCGAGAATGTTGTCAACTTGCTTTGCAATTACTCAATCCAAAACAAATAAATATACAGTGGCACAAACCTGGAGCCTTCCATCATGCTAGATGGATGTGTACAATCTTGTACACATCAAAGATGTTTGCTTTTGCTGACCTGGCAGAGTATGAAGAAAGTTTTATAGAGAAATTGTCAAGGTTTTGTAAATTTACTTTACTATTTTATGTGAAAATATGGCTTATGTGCACAAGCACAGTCGATGCTCCATTTAATGACCTGGAATTCTACAAAGAAATGCTTATTTATAAAAAAATTGACAATGATGTTGCTGTTGCTGCCCTGGAAACATTTAATCGGCATCTTTGGTATTTAACTGAAGAAATGTCCCCTCTTTCATTATTTTCTGATAAGGTATCTGATCGAGATAAAACTAAAATGGCTAAAATAATTCTGAAAAATATAAAAGAAAACTGTGAACATGATATAGGCTTTCCACAATTTCCTCTTCTGAAGCAGAGTACTTGTTTGACTGATTTAATTGGACCAAAATCAAGTAACATTCTAAATTTATTCGGATATTCAAATGAGGATGGCGGTTGGTTGGTAGAATCCCCAAAGTTTTGGAAAACTAACACAAATTTTAATCACATGTTTGAGCATATCAAATCACTGAAATCTGTAAACGATACAGCAGAACGAGCTGTAAAACTAATTCAAGACTATGCAACATCTATTACAAAAGATGATGAGCAGAAAGAATTTCTTTTACGTGCAGTAGAACACCACCGAAAAGTTCTTCCTCACATAAATAAACAAGCAATTCAAAAACTTAATTTTTGAAAATATGCTTTAAAAAATCTCTTTTTTATTATACCTTTAAAATATTGTTATTTTGTTGTTATAATTTAAAAAAAATGAGATTTTGAACTTCTTAGTACTTATTCCCATTGTGCTTTAATATTGTTAACTTATACCAATCATTTCTATCCTTCTTTGTTTAATAATTGAGTATTTATCAAATTTTTTGTTTTAATTAAAAATTATAATTTATAAAATTCCTTATTTAGGCAGAAAAAAATCATACGACAAAGGTAATATTAGAAAGGATGGGGGGGGGGGGAGGGTCATAAACCAGGTGAAAATTTATTTTTAATAAATTTTCATTTTTATTTATTACAAAACTATTTGAAATTATAATAACAGTTAATTATATTGGATATAAATAATAGATATATAAAAGGAGTATATTAAGGATTGTTTTAGGGCAAAAACACATTAAAGGGGTTATGAGGGGGGAGGGGTCAAATATGAATTTTTTTTTGAAAATAACTATTGATTATGTTTTATCAAACAAAATTACACAAGAAAATTATATAAAATACGAACATAGTTGATTATCAAAAATAATTTTAGTCCTTTGTGTCATTTTTTTAGAAAAAAAACACAAAAAAAAGAGCGGCGGGGGGGTCAAATATGAAAATTTTTTGATTTTTTTTTTTTTTTTTGCTTTTAGTAAATAAAAATACATATGAAACTGTTTGAAAATCTAGAAATAGTTAAAAACTAAAAAAATTCATGTCATTTTGGGACACCCTAATATATATATATATATATATATATATATATATATATATATCAATAATGTGCAAATGTACAGTGAGAAGTGGTACTTGCACAAAAATTTTATAGCGAGTAGTGGAACTTGCAAAAAAAAATATAGCAAGTAGTGGAACTTGCAAAAAAAAAAAAAAAAGCAAGTAGTGGAACTTGCAACAAAAAATATAGCGAGTAGTGGAACTTGCAAAGAAAAATATAGTGAGTAGTGGAACTTTGCATAAAATATATATAGCGAGTAGTGGAACTTGCAAAAAAAAATATAGCAAGTAGTGGAACTTGCAAAAAAAAAAAAAAAAGCAAGTAGTGGAACTTGCAACAAAAAATATAGCGAGTAGTGGAACTTGCAAAGAAAAATATAGTGAGTAGTGGAACTTTGCATAAAATATATATAGCGAGTAGTAGAACTTGCAAAAAAAAATATAGCAAGTAGTAGAACTTGCAAAAAAAAAAAAAAAGTAAGTAGTGGAACTTGCAACAAAAAATATAGCGAGTAGTGGAACTTGCAAAGAAAAATATAGTGAGTAGTGGAACTTTGCATAAAATATATATAGCGAGTAGTGGAACTTGCAAAAAAAAATATAGCAAGTAGTGGAACTTGCAAAAAAAAAAAAAAAAGCAAGTAGTGGAACTTGCAACAAAAAATATAGCGAGTAGTGGAACTTGCAAAGAAAAATATAGTGAGTAGTGGAACTTTGCATAAAATATATATAGCGAGTAGTGGAACTTGCAAATTTTTTTGATAGACGGCTCTGGCTTACGTTCACGTCGTGTCTATTGTTAACAATGATTAATATATAGTTTCATTAATGGAATTTAATATCTTAATCATTAACTAAAAGCCAAGACGCAAACTAATTAGAATAATATTATAAAACATTTTTTGTTTTTGAAATTCTATTTTAGGTCAGAGGGGGAACCATCTATAACTATCACAAAGCATTGTGTGATGTATTTTTATGCATTTTAAAGCATTGTGTGATGTATGTAAATTAAAGTTTATTATTTTAATTGCATTTAAATATTTTTATGAATCTCAATAAATATATATATTTTTTTAGGTTGTCAAAAAAAAAGGGGGGGGACAACACCCCCCTCCCCCATTTACACCCCTTGAAACAAGGTGTGCGCTGCTAGTGATTTTGTAAAGTAGTAAAATGTAATTTTTGATTTGAATAGTAGATTTCTTTTGAATTATAAAGATAAATATTTATATAAAGAGTCATTTTTGATAATAGGGTGTTTGAAACCATCACCCTTACATCCACCCAAAGGCAATGATGAATATTCTATATTTGATTGTGGTCTGATAGCTAATAACAAAAACATCTTGCATATAAAAAATTTACATTTTCATTAAAAAAAAACACTTTTTTATAAAAATAGTACGTCTTTATTGCCGGTAAGGATGGTGGTTTTGTTCCCCCTCTTACTCCCTGGATGCGCCCATAATCTAGAAACCTTTGTAAATTTGTAGATGACTCTTGTATCTATCTTTTGATACCAAGATATAAACATTTGGATAAGAATTGGTTAAGTTATAATAGTTTTAGTTAATAAAAAGTTTATTTTGACCACAGTTTCTTCAACAAATCCTAATATCAAAAAATCGGTACTTAAAACGTCATAACTTTTTGTAGGGTGGTTCGATTTTGAAAATTTTTTCATTTTTAGAATATTAAGCTCTTTTTAATGATTTATAACAACCTATAATTTGATGAATTTAAAAATTTCATGTGACATACCTAATATATATATATATATATATATATATATATATATATATATATATATATATATATATATATATATATATATATATATATATATATATATATATATATATATATATATATATATATATATATTAGATTAATTTAATATATTAGAAAAATATGAAAGTTATTGCATCAAATGGAAATTGGTTAAACTTGAAAAATGTGTACTCTAAATTTTGTAAGTCACAAAGAGCAAGTCAATGTTAGTTTAAACTATTTGTTTTAGCTATGTTTATTTTTAAAAAAGAAAGCTAAAGTGCTAATAACATATTTTATGCTATTTCTATATGATTTCATACAACAATATTTTATTTTGATACTTAATAATTTCTCAGTGAACTTTTATTCATTTCTAATAGATATTTATAAACTTTTATTTTCAACTATTTATAGCTTTATTATAAAACACACAACTAGGGATATTTGAAATGATAACTCATTTCTTTTTATTAATTTTTTGTATGGTTTATTTTTTGTAGATTGCTAAGGTCATCACTGATCTCAGCAGTTTAATACCTATTTTATAAATGTTTTTACTCTTTTAAGGTATAATTGACAAAAAGTAAATCTCTTAAAAATATATTTTTTGGATTATTCAAGAAATATTTAGCTGATAACTTTACATTGCCCTTGGGTACCAGCATTAAGTGTAGCAATCGTCATATTCTTTCTATTTTTGTTTGCAATGGTCAAAGTGTTTTTAAAAAAAAAAAAAAGTTGTGTTGCATTTTGCAAAGAGCCTTTTGCATGCAATAAACCATTTTCAACTTTGACACTTTCATTGCAGCCAACATCTAGTAGTTCTACTTACAATGTTTCATGTTTTTTAATTGTTTAATCACCTGAACGCATTGGTTCTCCAAGTATTAATTATGGTAGTGAAAATTTGAAAATGAGGCATACTTCAAGAAAAAACTTTATGTTTTTTCTCTTGAAGTATGCCTCATTTTCAAATTTTCACTACAAGAGTCTTATGAGAAAAAATTAGTAAAGAGGACATCTATTTTGTCTTCGAGGTTAGCTAGAGCTAACATAGAAAACTGTAAGAAGATAGCTTTAGCAAAAGAAAAATTAATCAGCCTACCTTATAAATTGAAAGTTTTCAGACAAAGTGTTAAACGAAAAGAAGTAATTATAAAAGCTTTACGAGCGGAAGTTAGAGAATTAAAAAATAAATTACAAACACACTATTACAGCAGGTATTGTAAGTTTTTTATTCATTTTATAAATTATTTTATTGATAATTATTTGTAAGACATTTGCACTTTACAGTTCGGAGAGTTCATCCGACCTATGTCTTCTGCAGGCCCTCTTTTAATGGCAAAGTTGCAAGTCTAAAAAAAAGGGCAGCCAAAAAGGTTGGGGGCTCCAGTTCAAAAAATACCACCAGACCCCCTCTCCCTTGTGGGGGCCATGGGTAAAGTGTGTAAATTAAAATTTACCATTTAAAATATAAGCATTTTTTTAGTATATATTCTGTATAAAATATTATCATTTTTAATATATGTTCTGTTTTTAGGTTAGAGGGACACACCCTTTCTCTGAGTTACTGTGCGTCGCTAGTGTAAGTTGTAATGTACTAAAAATTAATTTATATTTTTTATACAAGGTTGATTTTTTTAATAAAGGTAAAAAATACTGATTTGGTATATAAATAAGTATTTGGGGGAAGTCTGAAAGGAAATTAAAACAACTACTTTCATATGAATATTAATTAATATTCACACTTTTAATAATATATTTATGTTTGTTTAGATTTAAGGTGAAGGGACACATGCCCTCAATTCGATATGCACGGCTAGTATATGTTCTAACCTATTATAATATAATTTGTATTTTATTTATTCTATATCTACTTTTTTTTAAAGAAATTCAAAAATAGTGTTTTAAAATAATCATTTTCAATTTTAGGGTGTTTACCCCTCTCCCACATGCTCCCATTTATTAGGTCAGTCCTACCGCTTCTTCTGAAAAAACTCCTTAGTCGAAAAAAAAAATTAAATAAAATTTTCTTTTATCAACAGGGTCTTTTAATAATAGGGTGTTTACCCCTACTCACATACACCCTGACTCTAAGATGTACCTCTCGTATTGGTCTAGAAAGAAATTAAAACAACTACTTGCATATAGAAAAATAAAAAACAGTTTTTTTTTAAAAAAATTTATTGGTAAAAAATTGATATTATGACAGTAAAGGTGGGGTTTGGGTGCTCCCTCTAGCCAACGGATACGCCCTGAGGGTGCGTGCAAATGTTAATGTGTAGGTTACTCTTATATCTATCTATTGACACCAAGTTTTAAGGATTTAGATAGAGTTCGACAAAGTTTTAATAATTTTAGAAAAAAAAAAACTTTATTTTGACCACAGTTTTATCAACAAGTCCATATATCCAAAAATCGGTACTTAAAACGTCATAACTTTTTTTGAAATTATTCGATTTTGAAAATTTTTTCACTTTTAAATTATTTAAATGAAGCTCTTTCTAATGATATATAACAATCTAGAATTTATTCAATTTAAATTTTTCATGTAGCATACCTATCTATATGAATATCCAAGTTGTAGCAACAATAAAATACGTTCTTTAGTATTTTTTTGATTTTTTTTTTGTCAAAATGCTTTGTTTACATAAATCTTTTTTTTTAGCTAACTGCTTTAAATATGTGATTAAATTATAAATAATATCGTTAAATATTGTTTAAACAAAAAGTAATCAAGTTTCAAAAGTGTTTCTATTTCAATGTCACAAGACTGTATATGAATTACATCTTAATCTCTCTCTCTCTCTTTCTCTATTATAAATATATAATAAATATATTTATAATAGAGATATATATCTCTCTCTTTCTCTATTATAAATATATAAAAAAAAAAAGGATCCAAGATAGGTATTGTACTTTGGCTTTTAACAATTTTTAACTTGAGCATAAAAAAAATAAATCTTTTTTTAAAAATGGTAAAAGGTTTTTTATTAATTATATATTTATTTTATTAGTGATGACAATGAACCAGATAAGTAAAAATTATTTCATTTATAAATTTTTAATTTTCTGTTATATTATAGTTATGTTTTATAATTTTTTTTAGCTTGCTAAAGGTTAGACATAAGTAAGTATCTTTATTAATAAATTTTAATTTTGATTTTTGAAATAGTTTTTTATTAAATAAAAATAATAATTTAATAAGTTTTCATTTTAGAAAAGAAAATTTGGGTTTTATTGTTAAATTTAGAGTTATTTTGTTAGTAAATTTAGTAATTAGTTATTGTAATTTGATTTTAAAGAAGTTGTAAAGATTTTTTATTTATTTAACAAAAATGGCGCCAACAATGGCATTAACAGGAAATTTGGTTATCACCATAACAATGAAAAACAAACTGAGATTGGGAATATTCCACTTCAAAACCTCTATTTGTATCATATTTAAATTTAAGTTTTTATTTCTTGTAGGTATTTATTTATTGCTCAACTTTATCCAGAGTTGTTTGTTGCTCAGTTAAATCACTCATATTGAGTAATAACTTTAAGGTAAACATTGCACATAATGAGTGTTTTTTATAATTTATTACTTTGTTAAATAATAAAATCTTTAAATAATAAAATCTTTTTTTGTTTTTATTTTAGATTTACAGTTGATTCAAAATGGAAAAGAAAAGAAAGACTGTATTTTTGTGTATTTGGATTGATTTTGATTTACTTATATTTATATTTGTTATTTAACCAATATATATTACTTAAAGATAAGTTTTTAAGTATATCTAAATTGTAAATGTATATAGGAATATGTAATATAATTATATTGTTATGTGCTTGTATATACTTTATCAAAATAATTAATAATTTTTTAGAAAGCGTTTATTACTTTACTAATTTTTTATTTATTTTTGTATTTGCTGTTGAAGTGAAATGTAAATCACGGAAATTTTAATATTTTTTATGTAAATCAAAGAAAGTTTGTTTTCAGAAAATATTTTCAAAAACATGCCATTGATTTTATATATATAAGATTTGCTAGAAATAATTTAAATTTTATTCTCGGAAACTATCCGGCAGCTGAGTTGCCTTTCCGTTGTTTAACAGAAAAAACTTATTTAATTTAAACGGAAGTATTCGTTTATTTACGGAAAAGTTCCGGCAGCTGCCGATGACCAAACTACCCGGAAAAAACCCATTGTATTTTAACGGAAAAAATCCGTTTGTTTACGGAAACTTCCGTTTACAAACGATGGGTTTTTCCGTAAAATAACGGGTAGTTTGGTCATCGGCAGCTGCCGGAACTTTTCCGTAAAAAACGCTATTTTTTTAACAGTGTATTTAAAAAAGATTTTAACAAGATTTGGACGTTTAAAAGTTTTTTATGCGTCTTCTTCAGTTTTTAAAGCACCTAATGCTCTCAGCTGAACTCAAAAATTTTTTTTTGAGTTCAGCTTTCAAGAAATTAAAATTTTGTAAAATTGTCTTGCTGCCTTATATTTCATTTTTATATGATCTTTTACATTTTTACCAATATTTGAAAAATAAAAATATATTTTTGTAGTAAAATTGATATACTAAGCTTAAAAAAGTAGGGAAAAAAATATATCAGTTTTAGAGTGCTAGGGGTCTCTAGATTACATTTACAAAAAGAAATTACTCCAATATAAAAGTTGGTTTTGTAGGGTTTTGCTCATCCCTGGCCCACTGTGCTATATTTTTATACAATTCTTAATCAGCATAAAATTCTCTATCATAATCAGCAATAAAAATAGGAGGTAGAGATGTAAATTAGCGCCGCGAGTTTTAAAGCGTCTAGCAACACTCTAGTATATGATTTGGTTGGCATCAAAGCATCAAAAAGGTTAAACTAAAAATTTTGAACAATTTTTTTCAGAGATACCTTTTAGTTATTCTAAAATTGCAAGGAACTTTCTATTACTCTTTTTTTCTACCTTGAAAATTTCTACTAGGAACTATTTTTCTATGTGATAAGGTGTATGTTACAAAAATGTTATTGTATCAGGGAGTTGTTGTTTTTGGAAAACCAATGGTGTGAATTATTTTTCAAAAAGTGTTTTAGATGTTATGATAAATGTTATGTAATATAAATTGTATGTTTGATGGTCCTAAATTTCTTTAAAGAATGTTGTGAGAACCTGCAAACAAATAAATTCCTAATTTTTATGTGATCAAATTCATTTAATTCTAGAATCAGTAAGAGATTCAAATTGCAAAGCAAAGGCAATTGTATTTGATAAAAATCTGAGTCTAAAATTTTACGAAAAACCTTGATTAACTATTCTTTTTTTGTTTGACTTTTGTCCACGTAATCAAAAAAATACAAAATAATGGGCTCAGAAAGACAATACTTACAATGCTCTTCTTAATCATCCTGAAACTTCTAACAAATCAAATGTTAACAAGACTAGTGATTTTATTAAACTTGCTGTCACATAATTGAAAATGTTCAATAATGATCAAAAAGCTTCCTCAGAGATCTAAATTATAAACAAAAAAGTTTGTTTTGGATTTTGGCAATACAGCCAAATTAAAAAAAAATAGAAAATAAGTATTAAGTATCAACACATGTCGCAAGGCATTTCACTAATTATACACGTGAAGAAATAGTCTAGCTGAGTAAAACACTATTAAAAAAAAAACACTTTTGTTACAAATTTGTTATGTTAGGAAAATTTGCTACAGAATTACTTGAAACAGAATTTAGAAATTTAAGAAAAGTATCTGGTGACATATTTTTTATGTGTTTTTTGAAACCGAAGATGTCTTATTTATGATTTGCTTAACGAATATGAAATTTTGACCAATATAATGTTTTATATTTTTAACTTTGGTTAATATCCAAAATCATTTGAAATAGTGGGATTAGTGGGATAGTGTAGGGATAGTGGGAATAGTTAGATGATAGATAGGGAATAGATAAATAGGGATGGTGGGAAAGCAATTTTGACAATACTGTTCAATTGCTTTAATCAACTTTATTAAAGATAAAGTTTGTTTGATTTAAATATTCAATATTTTTATGCTTTAAAGCATTATTTTATTGAAATCGAGTGTATTCATTACAATATACTTTCAAATTTTTTTTATCAAAAACCACTGAAAACATTCTATATCAAAATCAAACAAAGAACTATGTTGTTTTAAACAAAGTACCATCATATTAAGTTTATCTTGTTAGGTTGACATTTATTCATTGACACTTTTGCTTTTATTATTTGCTGAGATCTGTTAAGTATATCGCTGTTAGTTGTAATATGCCTGAAGTTTGCTGTTTTGAGATTTTAAAAGTTAATATTTGTCCTTATTTGTTTAAATTTATTTAAAAGTTTAGTTATTTTAGTTCTAGTTTTTATTTGATTTGAAACTTTTTTTTTCATCATTTGACAAAAAATTTATTGTAATTAAGTAACAAAGATTATTATTAAAAACAGGGTCGTCCCGAAGAGGTCTGTCATGGGAGGGGGGAGGGTATATGTTTTTTACCAACTAGAGACACACACACACAAAAAAGTCCTCGGTATTTCACAACTGCCAACTCAAATGAAATGCTAAATGTGCCAACTCAAATACTAAATGTGCCAACTCAAACGCATATATAACACCTTTGGGGGGATGGGACACCCCCAACACCCCCGTCCGGGAAGGCCCTAATTAAAGACATGAAAATATTTATAAATTGTTTTTGTTAATTTATATAAATTATTACAGTTTCTATTTTAAATTTTAAATATTTTTTTAAAAAAAGCCATTAATTAAATCATAATGTGTTTTCAAACAAATTTAAATCAAATTAATTGTAAACAAATTTAGATTAATTTTGTTGTTTTCATTTTCAAATATCAACCCCCATATTTTAAGCAGACCAAAACATATTTTTACAACCACAAATATTTGGTTGATTTAAATATATAGACAAATTTGTATGATATTTTTTTGTGTGTTATTTGGCATAAATAGATTGACTGGCAATAGAAATACTAGGGTTTTAATAGGGTTTTAGTCATAATTAAAATTCATAAAAGACAAGTAAACTATCATTTCGTTAAAAAGTATTCAGTTTAACTTGATGGTTTTAACTTCGCGTAAATCAGGTAATGTTCTTCCGCTCTAAACGGACAGGGGAAGAGAACAAACATCATGTATGTGATACTCCATCCCCCCTTCCCTATTAATAAATCTTAGTTTATTAAGTTGGCAAACTTAGCTCTTTTAGACCAGCGTGTTAGCATATATAGACCATACACTCTTAAAAAAGTTCCGGTAAAATTTACACGAACTGTTCAGGCGATTTTTTACGCCTGAAACTTCAGGCGAAACAACTGAATGTTCGATCGATGCGTTCTGACTATGTCTTTTGCCTGAACAGTTCAGGATTAGTTTAGATCAACAGTTACAGTTAATATAAATTATTCCTGAACTTTAGACAAACTGCACGAACCTGTAAAAACCGGAACTTTTAATCTTAACTTTTTGCTTTTTAAAAGCATGTGCTCGGTAATGTTAAAAAATTTAAACACTCATGAGTTGATTAATCATTTGATTTCAAAAAGAATTTCTGTGGAAACAACTGCTAAATTGTCAAGTAAGTATTTACTACATAAAAATTTAGTTTTAAACATTAATGCATAAAACCATAGATATATAAATTATATATCTATGCATAAAACAAATTTAACTAGTTGAAATAACTTTAAAAAATGTTATCTTTCATAAACTTACTGTTTAAAGGTGAAGATATTGACGGAAATGCATTTTTGCAAATGAACTCTGTTTTGTTTCATTGTATTGGAATAAAAATGGGTCAAGCTATAAAGCTTCAGTCTATCATTGCAGCAGAAAAGGTGAATTTAATATTATAATGTACTTTTTTTTTAGGATGTCAATGTGCCCCAAAGATTTTTCAACTGTTGCTTTTTACATAAATCACTTGAGGAACTTTCATCTTTTTTTTGAGCCTTGTCAACTTCGTTGTAATGTTGATGGTTGTATAAGATTGTTTACTACATACAATATGCTTAGAAAACATATAAATAAAGATCATGCCAGTTTTGTAGTTAATATTGCTCGAACATTTAGCATAAGTTGTGAAAATCCAGTAACACCTACTTCTGAAGCTAAAAGTGAAATTAAAATAGACAAAGAATGTGAGAAAAAAATTGATGACGTTGCCTCACCTATTGTTGATGAGTATGGCATATCACAAGCAGCGTTAAAATTTATTATGGCTTTAATGTCTTCGAGTTCTATTCCTCTAAGTACTTCAGAATTTGTTAAGAATTGTTCACAAAACCTAATTGAAGACATACTTAGTTATTTACTATGTAAAACAATTGCGATACTGAAAACATATAGGTGTGAGAAACATGTAATTGACAATTTAACAGAAGAGTTTAACAGATGGAAAACACCTTTTAGTGGAATTGATTCACAACATCGAATATTATCATATTTGAAAAATAAAAGCCTATATATTGAACCAGTACCACATTCAATGGGTGAACGATGGGATACAAAACGTGACAGAAAGACTAAAAGGCAAATGCAAGTCAAAGTAAAAGATTTGTTTTATTACATACCTATTGAAAGCACAATAAAGCTTGTGTTGCGACAGCCAAAAGCCGTGAAAATGTTAAAAGTGGAGCAAATATCTAATTTAGAATTTGTTGAAGATTGGTTTTGTAGTGAAAATGGAAAAAAATTAATGGCATATGCCAAATTTAAATTTCCGAAAAGTTTCACTTTGTTTATTCAAATATACTTCGATGAAGTAGAGACCACAAATCCTCTTGGATCAAAAACAGGCATTCATAAACTTGGTGCCTTTTATTTTGTGATAAAGAACTTTCCTCATGCGGCAAACTCAGCCTTGAACAACATTCATATGTTAGCATTAACTCACGCAATAGACATAAAGAAATATTCAGCAAAACCAGTGATAAAAGTGATTGTAAATGAATTGCAAAAATTTCATGACGAAGGATTTGATATTTTTATTGAAGGTAAAAAAACTAACTTTAGATGTTTACTAACCCAAATTGTTGGAGACAATTTAGGTCTGCACTCTATATTAGGATATATGGAAAATTTTAGTACTGTTTCTTTTCCATGTGACATGTGCATGATATCACAAGTTGACATACAGCATGTTTTTAAAGAAGAAAAACAATCTCTCAGAACAGAAATTTTATACAACTCTCAAGTTCATCAGATGCAAAGAGGCAAAATTTCTAATAAGAACTGTGGAATTAAGCGGTTTACTTGTTTAACTGAATTGCCATATTATAATCCTGCTTCGAATGATTCTGCAGACATAATGCATAATATTTTTGAGGGAGTTATTCCGTGTGAAGTTAAATTGTTTCTTTACCATGTGTTGTATGATGTCAAATGTATCTCCATTACAGAACTGAATAGGCGAATCAAGTTTATGGATTATGGTATTGTCTGCAGCTCAAAACCTAGTACTATTAATGAGTCGCGTATGAAAAGTACTGACTCTTTACTAGGTCAACGCTCTGCTCAGATGCTTACACTGTTTATGTATTTGCCACTTATTTTGTCTGATGTTATTGATAAAGTAGATACACAAAAGTGGAAACTTTACCAAATCTTAAAGCAATTGTGTGATATAATCATATCTCCAAATTTAATTGTTTACAAGTCACGTATATTGAGGAATTAGTAATGGAACATCATTCATTGATGAAAGAATGTTATCCTGAGAAAAAACTTCTTTATAAGCATCACAGAATGATTCATTATGGAACTATTATAAAACGAAGTGGGCCTCTTCTTCACATGATTGTTATAAGGTATGAAGCCAAGCATAATTTTTCAAAAAGATTAGCTCATATTGTTTGCAATTTTCAGAACATTTCTTATTCAATTGCAAAAAGACATCAAATTGCTCATGCTTTAGCGTGGATGACTCATGGTCCCCTAAAAATCATTACTGATGTAAAAAATAGTGCAATGTTTTTAGTTTCAGAATTAAAGAACAAAAATCTTATTATTCCCTTTATTGGTGAAGAAAGTGAGTTTTTAGCTGTTGATTGTGTTACCGTTTTGGGTCAGAAATTCAGATCAAGTGAAACAATTCTTTATGATTTGAAAAAAATTATTTAAAAATATGTCAACTTGGTACTCAAAAGAAGCAAAATTTTATAAAAATTTTAAAAATTAGATTCATTTTTTATAAAAAACAACTTAAAAAAACTTTTTATTAAAAATGTTGTAAATATTACCTTTTTTTCATTTTTTGCTTAAAAACCATAGTTTTTATTCAAAAAAACCTAATATTGTTTTTTTTATAAAAAATACTTTTTGTTTTTGAAATTTTTAAATGATTTTGCTTCTTTTGAGTACCTAGTTGACATATTTTTAAATAATTTTTTTTTCAATAATATTAGGGACCTGTCAAATGTTTAGGGGCTTTGAGGGACCTTCAGGGCAAATAATAAAATTTAGTAAAAAATATTTTTGAACCACAATATGATAGTTGAATGGGAAAAACTTCAATTAGCTATGTTCTGAAAACAAATTAGCATACTGAACAGCCCTAATATATATATATATATATATATATATATATATATATATATATATATATATATATATATATATATATATATATATATATATATATATATATATATATATATATATATAAAGACAGGGGCTATTCTAGACCGTTTTCGACAGCGCTGACCGTATTTGGGCGCCGATTTGGGCGCCGCCCAAATTCAGGTAATTGAAGACCTTTTTTTTAAATTTATTTAACATATATGTAAATATTTATAAATATGATAGAGAAATATATATATATATATATATATATATATATATATATATATATATATATATATATATATATATATTTATTTGGCATTAATTTTGAATAGATCCGTTGTCTTGCAGCCGTTATATAAAAATAAGTTATTAATAATTCTTTTTCCGGCCAATAAATCGTTTTCCGGCCATTTTGAAATCATCTATATCAGAGTTTAGATGCGCGCGAAGTATTTAAAGTTATAAAATATTTGGAAACACTCGAAGTTTGTAGAAAGGTATCGACGATTTAAAAAAATGGCTGCTGGTCGCCCAAAATCTACTTCAATCAGCCATAATAAAAAATCTAGCACATATTTGACATCTAATCGTCTAGAAATAGAGATTACGCCTGTAAAACCAAAGACGAATATAGAAAAATTTTTTATTCCAAAAAAAAAAGAAACTTTGCCAAAAAGAGCGCGATTTGATGACGGTGGTATTGATTTCATTAAAAAGACAGTGATACCAATTCCACCAAACTACGTAAGAACTTTTTATATATGTGAAATATTTATCAACATTTTTCTTAATAATTGTTTTTATCTTTTTAATTGGGCATTTTATAAATACAACATAAAAGACAATCATTTATTTATTTTAAATCTGTTTTATATTGGTAATGTAATAACAACAATAAAACGAAAGCATAGAACAAAAATAAAACGAAATCACAAAATAACAACGAAATTATTGAAAATAAATAATAATGATTGTATCTTAGTATAAAAACTAATTTCTTATAAGTTATACTATTTCATTTTTTGTTTTATCATCAAATAGATGTGCAATACAGAGTCTTCTATTAAAACAAATTGTTTATCCCGTGTCCTTAACTTATCCATAAATTCTTCTATAATAGAAAATGTAACTGGAATTTCTTCAATAATAGCAAACAAAACTAAAAATTCTTCGCTAATAGCAAATAAAACTAAAACTGTATCAATAACAGCAGATATGAATGATGAAAGCAGAAATTCTTTGATAATAGCAAATGCAACTGAAAATTCTTTACTAAAAACATTTAATACTGAAAATTCTTCGATATTACCTAATAATACTGAAAATTCAACAACAGTATCTTTAAAAACAAACGTAAGTTCAATAAAAAAAAGTAAAACTTTTATATGGAAAGGAAACCAAAGTAAAGGATTCAGCAGTGAACACATAGCTTATTGGGAAAATAAATTTGAGTGGGCTTACTTTAGCATTTCAAAAAATGGTTGGCTATGTAAAACCTGTGAAAGTTTTTCTGTTTCTGGTGATGAGTTTTGCAAAACAAAATGTGTTAAACACAGTTTTCACCCGACAGAATTATTTAACACACACTTTATTAGCAACAAACACAAACGCGCTACCTCCAATAAACAACAAGTAAAATCCATGTTATTTAAAGGTAATGTTTTTAAACAGATTATTGACGGGGGTGTAAAATATAACGCAGAAGAAGAATCTAGACAAAAAAGAGTTATCATTAAATTTTTTAAAGCTGCATATTTTCTCGCTAAAAAAAATTGGGCCGTTAAGCAAAATTTCTCAGACTTTATTGATTTCCTTCAAAACATCGGGGATCAAGATATATTAAATCATTTCAAAAACAATCAAAGGAATGCATTATATACTTCTAACTGCATTGTACAAGAGTACATAGATATAATTAGTAATGAATTGGAGCTTAAAGTTCTCACTGATATAACAGCAAGCGTGGATTACGCATTACTTGCAGATGAAAGCACTGATGAAGCAGACCGATCACAACTAGCAATATTTGCTCGTTATATAGATATGACTGATTATTTGCCGACGGAAACATTTCTTGGAAAAGCTCAAATTGGTTGTTCAAAAACTTCTGAAGCACTTTTTGACATAAACAAACAATTTTTGAGTGAAAAAAAAATTTTAATAACGGATATGAAGTTTTGCGGACTCGACGGCACAAATGCAATGGGTGGTAAGCGGAGTGGTTTACAACGACTTCTAAGACATGCTTCTCCTTATAGCATATATTTAAACTGCAGGAATCACCGTCTCGCCCTTTGTTTAGTTCACCTAGTTAAAAAGTATGACTCTCTTGCCTTACTTGATAAACTATTAATTGCAATTTGGAAGCATTTTAAGTATAGCTCTATCAAACAAGCAATTTTTGAAGCTGCGCAAACCCAATTTGAAGTGAAACCTTTGAAGATTTTAAAAGCATGTACTACAAGATGGCTTTCACATGGGGAAACATGTGTCCGAGTTATATCTAGGTACGAACCACTACTTGATGCATTAGACACAATATTTCATGAAAAAAAAGATCCTGAGTCTAAAGGTATTCGTGACGCCATATTATCTCCAGACATGATTCTAATGATGCTCTTATTAGCCGAAGTTTTGTCGCCAATTAATATTTTGTGTAGATATTTGCAAACAAAGAATTTAAATTTTGTGTCAGTAGATGGAAATTTTAAAAAGCTTATTTCAAATTTTAATAAAATAAAAATTAATCTTCAACATTTTGATGCTATTGACACAACGCTAAAGTATTTCAAAAATGCTTCAAACTTTTTAAAAATTTCGTCTTTACGAAACGAACTAACAAGAAATATGCGTTCTAAAGTGTCCGTAACTACATCCTCAGATGATATAACTTGCACGATTTCTTGTTTTTTAGTAAAAGTTGGATATCCATTTTTAGATGATATTATAAAAGAAGTTAAAAGTGTCATGACAGAAAATAATACTCTCCTAAATAATTTTGATATGTTCAACTCTGAAAGCACTTCAAAAGAAAGCCGTACAAACCAATTAAATGAGCTTGTTTCTGTTTATGGATTTGAGCGCGCAGATTCTTATGAAGGACACAAAAACATTGCACCTGCAATTGTTTCACCTGGAGATTGTGAAGAAGAAGGGAATGTTTTTTTTGAAGAATTTGATGGGGTTGTGGCAGTTTTAAAAAAAAAACTTAAAGCTCTTGTAAAAAAAAAAGTTGAAGACGGATCGCTTAAGAAAGAAAACGCACAAGCGTATATTTGTGAAAACGGGCCAAGTTCCGCAGCAGTGTATCAACATATGAGTAAGGAAGGTGCAATCATGCGTTATACAAATATTATGCGATTATTTAGAATATCATTGCTTATCCCACCATCCACTTCCAATGTTGAAAGAGGATTTTCAGCGATGAACTTGTTATGCTCTTCATTAAGAACATCAATGAGTAATGAAAATCTTGACAAATTCATGCGAATTAACCGAACAGGCCCCTTAATAGAAGAGCAAAGCGAAGATGTTTATGAAAGATACTACTCAATTTTTAAAGATAGAAAAAATAGAAGAGTTCCTTTTTTATAATATCTAACGTTCTATAAAATTTTGAATTATATAACTTTCTTTTTTTTGGAATTATATAACTAATCTTTATGTATATAATAAATGTTCTTATATATAATGTTTTATGAAAAAAAATGTTCGTCAGAAAAATGTTTTAGGTGTACCTTAGACTTTTAAGGTTTTCTTTAATTTTGATTTTTAATTTTTAATTAATTTTTTAAGGCATTCTTTAATTTTGAATTTTATCTTCTAAAATAACGATTGTCACAATTTAATCTGGTGAAACGCGCATTAATTTATGGTTTTTTATTTTGAAGAGACTTGGACAAAACTTTTTAATTTAGCGCGTATATTCACCGGACCACCAGTACCATTGTTTTTAAAGTTCGTACATTAGTAAACGCATTTAGGTTGATTAAAGTAGTAATGTTTTTTTATTTAGCTTATATTTATTTGTTTTAATTTTTGGCAAAAATATGGCAATAATTATTTTAAAGATTTTTTTTTATTAACTACATCAACAGCAGTTTCATACAATAATTATTTTATACATGGAAGTTATACATATAAGTTATGGACTCAATGAGATTAGTAAGTTTGTTGCAGTAAATATGTGGGTTTTTTTCCCCATAAACATTTGCAATCTAGTAAATTTAAGGTAATTTGGCTATTTGTTAATTTATTTTTATTTCAGTGAAACTTCTGTGTAATATTTATTTTTAGGTAGCAACTTCCTTATAAAATTTATGTAACAGATCATTTTAACAGGAATGAATTATAGTGAATTATTTCAAATACATTTAAACATAATAATAAAGCTAAAAACTAACTAAATTTTTGTTTATCTAAAAACAAAAATTTTGAAATTTTCTAAACATGTTTCGGCCCCCCCCCCATTACTTAAATTTTAAGAGGGGGGAGTGAGGCAGAGGGGTACCGCCGCCCAAATTATTTTCCTAGAATAGCCCCTGAAAGATATATATAGCTATTTTTAAGAACAATGAAAGTATAGCAATATGTAAGTTTAGATAAATTGAATTGAATTATTTTTTGCGTTTTAGGAACAATCCACAGATTTTGTGCAGACAGAGTGTTTACAAACTGATTTCACTGTTGAAAATAATCTTGTTTCACCTAATCAGACTAGTTCTAGTACTAGTTTATCAACTTCCAATCCCTTTTCAGATTCAACACATTCACGTGATAGCGATGTTCTTCATACTCCATATCCAGTACTTAGAATAGACAATATCAAATTTGTAAATTTTTTAACATATATAGCTGTATTGCAAAACTATAAGGACTGATTTTCATTTCTAAAAATATATTTCAAAAATTTCTACTTTTTTAGAATGTTCGAAAACTGCTTGATGAGCATCAGACAGGTAAACGTGTCAGTGTTGAATATGAGACAACTGGAATGTTAATAAAGTACAGATTTGAAATGGTTCATATCCTTGTTAACATTATGGTAAATAAAGTTGGAAACATGTAAGTTATTACATTGATTTTATATTGATTATAGATTTTACAGTTTGTTCATTTCTGAATATTCAAATGCATAGTTATTAAGTTTTTTAGAACACTTTTTTATAATAATAATATTATATAAAGGCATGAACAGAACATGTAAATGTTAAGTTAATGATTCATGTAACCATGTTAAAAGTCTATTTATTTAACTTACCTATAACATTTGTTAAATATTGTGGTTATTAAATTATTAGGTGTTTACTTTAGGTATCCATCAAGAGCAACAAAAACAAATCTTGCTATGTCAATTATTAATGCTTTTCCTAAACTGCACTCTGGTGGACCTCTAGGATATGTTTGTTATTTAACTTTGTTAACTAAAAGTAATTTGTTTGTTTGCTGTTTAAACTGCATTATATTTAATAAAATATTTAAGAAAATTACTATTGCGCTTATAAGGAAGTTGAAGTAAATGGCAAAAAAAAGAAAATAACTCCTCATGGACATATCGAGGAGCGGCTGAAAACAATTAGGAAGTTTGATGGTGTCCATGCCCAAGCTACACGAAAACGAAAATCCGTTTCTCAAACGACTTTTGATGTTGCAGGTAAGCTAAATGATTTTGTAAGTCACGTTTATATATACAACAAATGGTGCTTAACTATTTTTTTCAGTTCCTTTTTCAAATGAAGAACAAAACATTATAAGTGAGTTGTCATTTGATGACATTCAGTATGATCGAAAACAATATATTCTTGAAAAAACTAGAGTATTGCAAAGAAACTGGATTCTGTCATCAAAACCACCTTTTCATGAATTTATTCGGAAATTTCCCCCATTTAAAGATTTAGGATTTGATGTAAGCAGTACTGTCTTTTACATTTGTAGTGTATATCTTTATGTCTTGAATTACTGCTGGAATATTGGAGTATTACTATTAATATTATATTATATTAGTATTAAGTATAATACTGTATTAGTATAATACTGGAGTATTACTAGTGTAAAATTGATTTTCTGTTTGAAAAACATTTCATGACTCTTTATAATCATTATATTAGTTTCAAAGAGAGATTACAGCAACATTTGAAAATGCTAAAGATTTGCTTACGCAATGGGAGGATATGGCTCCTCATGTTATTACTTGGGCTCGTAGAAAGGAGAATCCGATGGCGAAGCAACTACTTTTAGAGCTTGACAGCCAGCTAATACCTGCAAATGGTATGTCCCATTGTCTTCTTTAATTGCTGTTTTCTTTTCTTTTTTTAACTTTTATTAACTATTAAAACTATTATACTATTCTAAAATATGTATATGTATTGTTTGAGTTTTTAAATATTTTTTGAAAATCAAAGATCGATATATGGAGTTTGCATTTCACTTGCTTCCATACATTCTTCAAGTGCCTCCTAGAAATAAGGATCGACCGTCTACAGCTGAAGTTGCAGCTCACTTTATTCAAATCTTTCCTGTAAGTTTAATATTTCTAGCTAAATGATATGTGCTATAAACTAGGTCAATAATATAAAATAGGTCAAGGACACCAGCTTGTATATTGTATCTTAATTATTTTTATTTTTATAAAGGAAACTACAGCTATGGAGACGATAATTGATGCAAATAGACATACCTCTTTCATGCATCCATTTGTTATTGCACTAGGGGCTCGAGGCAATTTAATTCAGTCGTTTATTTTTATAGAAGACAATGTTATTCTATTAGAAATGGCATGTTAAGTGCAGTCGACCGTTTGCTGAAACTATATTTTGTAATCGATATTAAATATGCGAAAGAGTGCAAACATGTTTTACATTTTTTGCAATGTGTAGTTATGGGTATTCATGACGATTTGCCGTTGTCAAGAGGAGGCAGTGATCTTTCGTTGTTTGTTAATGAAAAATTAAGGAGTGGATAAACTTTTAAATGTTTTTATTTTAAAGGGTACGAAAATATACTATATATCAAGAAAATATCACGTACTTTATAAACAATCATGTTTGTAATTCTGTTGAAACTTATAATATAAATTATAAAATTGTTTAATTGAATAAACATAAGCTTTTTTTTTTTAATTGATATTTGCGTTACTGCAATGAACTTAGGGAGAAAAAAATTTATTTTGATTAAACCAAAATATATTCTTTTACATTTTGATCATATATTGGAAATAATTTTTTTCAAACAACGAATTCTATATAAATATTTAATCTACCAGAACTTTCTCATTATAGGCTACTTTCTAACATGTTTAATTTTTTTTTGTAAAAACCAGTTTGGGTTCAGATTTTGTACCGCGCCAGTTCAGGTTTTTTTTAAGAACAGTTCAGGTTCAGGTGAATTGCCTGAATGTTCGTCTGGCACTTTTTGAAACAAACTAGTTCAGGCGAAACGCCTAAAGTTCGTATAATCTACCGGAACTTTTTTAAGAGTGTATACTACCGTCAGTAAACTTTGACTTTTAGTACTGTCTGCAAATTTAGAAAGCCCGGACCTTTTTTTTTCAGACGGAAAAAATTTTTATGGCATTGCTACAGTCAATAAAAATCATTTAGAAACCAAATATTCACGTAATATACGTGATATACTGAATTCAAAGACAGTGAAAAATGATCACCAAATATAACAGAGTTTTTGTGGTAGTAGTTATATAAATGGTTTTTCATTTGTCCATCACTTTCTACTAAACGACTTTTCTGAATGGTCTATTAACTAGTTGTACCCATATTGTAGCTTTGTAATTATTATTTTCAAACACCTTTTCGGAAAATAAAACACAAATTACACAACAAAAATTGATCATGAGCAAGAAAGAGAGCAGAAAAAAAAGAGAGTTGGAAAAAACTTAAAACTGTAATACTTTACACTCGTGTTTAAGATTAAGAAGAAAAAAAAAAGATGGTTTTTCACGCTTTATTGTATATACAGGTCTGACGATATGGTTTTCGAAGTGGAGGGGCGCAATCGTCAATTTTTAAAAAAGTCTTCTACATCAATAATTTTCTTCAAAATAAAAAAAAATAAAAATAAAAAATAAGAAAAAAAGGTCTTTTAGAAAAAAAGTTGAGAGGGGAGGGAGCACGTGCTTTCCTGCCCCCTTCAACTTTTTGTCTTATTTTTTATTTTTATTTTTTTTGGCAGTGTCGTTGGTTATAATATAAAAATATTTTTTTAAAATAGTAGCATCTAATGTTTAGTCATTCTTTTTTTTTTTTCTAGATTAATGAGTTATTTTAACAAATCGATACTTCTGATATTTAATTAAAAAAAAAAACATATGCTAAATATTACTGGGTGAATAAGAATAATTTTTTTTTCTTTTTAATGGCCTCTAACAACATCGCTTGAATGTACATACAAGAAAGATATGGCGATGGAACCTCAATATGTTTAAAAGGATTAGCAATATATTAAATATAATAAATTCAAATACTGGTATAGCTTGGGAGTAAATAATGGTATGTGTACAAGGTGAATTGTTGAAATTCATATAATATCTTTTTGTTTTGAAAATCAACAAATAAAAAACAAGGTTTTTTTTAAATGGTCTTATTTAATTATTGATTATTGAGAGAGAGAAAACTCAATGTGAAGACAATACAATATCTATTTTTATGGTAAAATTAAAGTGAATTTAAAATGAATGAAACGTTATGCAATGATTATATGTAAAACTTTTAGATAGTGAGCGTAGAATAATATTGTAGGGTACAGGCCTAGTCGCTAGCTAAACATTTTAAAATAACTTTAAACCTTGATAATAAATTTTTTTTTATATATTTCTCTTTTCTGGGAAAGAGAAATACTTAATTCCTCCCCGTACCCATTACCTCCCCGTACCCATTACCCTCACACCCCCCTCCCCATTACCGGATTCCTGGTTTCTTAACTGTTTAAACTAAAAAAAATAACTGTTTATAAACCAAAATGAACCTTTTTCATACATTAAAGTTCCCTTCAACATGGCAAATTTATTGCAATTTTGCGAGTTTTCCAAATTTTTAAAACTTAAATAAATCTTATTTGCTTTAATATGATCTGCAAAATATTAATATGAGAAACTCCAACTGGTCCGCAAGGCAAAGGTAGTTTCTTTTTTCGGTTGGGCATAATCTGTCCTTAAAGGTAAATGGCATATTTAATCCTGTAGTATCTCTTTAATGATACAATAAAAGTAGAAAATGGTTATTTATCTGAATTGTGTACGTAATTTAGTGTCTACATATTGTTCTATTTCACTCTTTAATCTTGAATTTATAAAATTTCGCCAAAACATTGTTGTCGATAGTTGTCATAATTAGCCTTAATTTTATTTCTAAAAATCAGTTTATTATTTTTCATTTACATTACATTTTTTTAGAGACTCAATCATGTCTCAACCTGTACGGTATGAACTTTTATATACAAGTTATTAATTTATCACTTAGTACCTTAATATGCAGCTGTATAATTTATCATTAAGATCTATATTTAATATTGTTATTTATATACAAGTTATATTACCATTTTTTATATTATTCTTTAAATATATAAATTATATAGTATTTATATACAAATATATCTATATACAAGTTAACATAAAAAATAATTTTTTAGGCTATACACTAAAGGAATTTTTCTTGGTTATCAGCGCGGACTTCGCAACCAAAATGAGAATACATCACTAGTTAGAATTGAAGGTGTCAATTCAAAGAAAGATACTGAGTTTTACGTTGGAAAACGTATTGCTTACGTATATAGAGTTGGAAAAAAAACTGTTGCTAAAGGTGCAAAAAAGTCTAGTAAAATCAGAGTTATTTGGGGCAAGGTTACACGACCACATGGTGCTCGAGGAGTAGTTAGAACTAAATTCCGTCACAATCTTCCTCCTAAAGCCATGGGTGGATCAGTAAAAGTGGTATGTTAAGTATTAACATAATAAGTTTAATTATTTGAATTCAAATTATTTAATTTATTATTATTGCGTATAATTTTTATTATGATATTTATTGTACTTTTATTACATTTATCATTATTCATGATATATAATTTTCTTAACTTTTTTTTTGTTTTATGATGCCATGTACTTTTATGTGCGGTACTAAATTTGTTTTTCTGATTTTAATTAAAGCAACGCTAATCTAAAAGTTAAGCCAAAAAAATTTTGTGCATTGTCAGTTTGTGGCAAAATAAACCATTATCAATGATGATTTTTAATTGTATTACTCTTATGATTAAAACAGACTCGCTGTCTGAGATAAGTTATTCTTGTTATAAAAGTTCAATTTTTATGTGTAAATATAAGATTTTTTTATATGTTAATATAAAAAAATTATTTACTTAACAAAATTTGTATGTTTAACAAAAGCATAAAATATGCACTTTTCCCTTAATAAAACTGTTTGCCAGTCATCAATAGCTATGATGTGTCATAAATAGCTATACCCTGCCTAGCACTATTAAAGTTTTTTCACCTGCAAAATTTGTAAAAATTATTAATTTTACTTAAAATTCAGCACTGATGCTCATAACGTTTACCCGTTCGAAAATAACATGTGAACAACATACTTTTACTGAGCTGAATAATCTTATCAATTTTTAATTGTTTGTGCAAATTAAAATTTATCAATGTATCAAGGAGTCTAGCAGATCAGGGCAAAGTTCAGGTTATTTAGATATTAATCAGGGAACAAACAGTGAAGTTAGATTAAATTTTAGGTAAATTGAGGGCAGCTTTTCTCTGAACTTACACTTAACAAGTATTATTTGGCAGATTATTCCTTTTATTAACTTCTCTTGGTATTGTTAACATTAAATTAATGTTTATATTTTTGCAATAGTAGAGTTTTGTACTAAATAAATCTAGATTGATTATTTTCTCAAGTTTAGCTTAGGTAACTTAAAATTATATCAGAAAAATTCATTTCATTTTAATATGAAGACATGTTTTACTAATTTATATATATATTTTTTTGCGTGCATTTTTATTAATTAGTGTTATTAGCAGTGAAATTTTATTCAGATTTAAATTTATGCAAACATTTGTATAGTTTTAGGCCTATTTCATTTCATTAAAATAATTATCAGTTATATTTGAGTTTTTGTTAGTTTATTCTGCTTACATTTACCTTAAATGTTTTAAATTAATAATGTTCATAATATTTGGCAGTGATGTTTTAAACCGTTTACCCGTTCGAAGTTTAATATGTGAATAATTTTGATTATTTCTGAGCCAAGTAGATAAATCACAACATAAGAACTTATTGTTTAAGCAAATGTTTTCTTGCAAATTATTTAATTGTTTTTTAATGATTTTATTATTTATTAACTTATAAAACTTTATTATTTTATTCAGATTCATTTAAGTAAAATAGTTTTCAACAATATTGCAGTAATCAGTGATATTAGTAGTGAAATTTTTATTTGGTTTATAGTTATGCAACATTTGTATCGCTAAAACCTTGATAAAAATGAATAAGTTGCATTTCTTTTTATCAAGTAAAATAGGCTATAACAAAACAATAAATCAATTTTTTGTTTGATTTCTCTGCCCCCATTTACCTAAAATTTATGTTCTCAGTTAATATTTATTTGGCAGTGATGTTTTAAACCGTTTACCCGTTCGAAGTTTATCATGTGAACAATTTTAATTATTTCTGAGCCAAGTAAATAAATAAAATATTTGTTTAAGCTTGGTCTTTGTTATAAATCATAGTATCTGATATTTATTTTTATTATATGTATTAAATTATAAAACTTATATTTTTATACAATATTAACAGTAATTAGTAGGTTTGTTTAGTTACAGCAAATTAAATCCTTATTTATTGTTCATCCTGTTGTTACCAAAAGTGGTTTTCTCATTTATAAATTAAGGTGGTTTGTGATAATTTTTTTTTTTGAAGAGTCCCACAATAACCTTTGAAAATCAGCACTGATGTTTTAACCGTTTACCCGTTCGAAATTTACCATGTGAACACTTTTTTTTCTGAGCTGATTTTATCTTTGAATTAATACTTGCGTATTGTATAGATGTGACCTTTTTTTACAAGGTTTTTATTGTTGTTAGTTTAAACTTTCAAATTTTTTTTTATTTTCGTGCAGTAAAATGTTTTTTTTTTTTTTTTATAGATGCTGTATCCTTCTCGTGTTTAATAAAAGAAATAAAATCTAAAAAGTGTTTCTTTCATTTACTTTTTTTTATTCCAAACATTTGTTTACGATGTCTACATAAGCATGTTTAATTCCCCTCCCCCTCCTTCCAAAAAATAAATATTGGGGTGTAAGTTTTGCTAGATCATAACTTTGGCATTTTATATTTTTCTACGAAATTTAAAATCTTTCGATTTATTTAACGCACTGATCTCAAAATATAACTGGATAGCGGATTTTATTGTTTTTTCTAAAAAAAATTGAAGCCCATCAAGATGACAACGATTTAAGTTCCTAGCGGTAAAGCCTATTTAGATTTTATATGGCCTTATCAAATTACGATAGAAAATATTCAAATAAAGCCAAAAATAAAATAAATCAATTTTATAAATATTAAAGGAAAAAAAAGAATTTATTCTTTGAAAAATCAATTTATCATTAAATAGCATTTACAATTTTAGTTAAATTTTGCGTACGATTTATGTGCCTTTTAGTTCTTAGTTACCCAATGATGTATACTAGAAGGTTAATAGCATCGTAAGCAGCAAACGTCTCGCCTCCAATTTTCCATTAATTGTATAAAGATACCATTTTGTACAAATGTTGGATGAACTACTACGGAGTCAGTATACGATGGTTTACGAACCCAGGGGTTCCTTCTAGAATTACATTGAATTCTACCATAGCAGAAATTATTTGAGTAAAACATATTAAGGTGTCACTTGTTCTGGTAAAAAACCAACTATTTGAATCAATTAAAGAAAAGATATTAAGTAAATCATTTCTTATAATTTAAAGGATAATCGTTCAATATTAGTGACGATTTATGTAACAAACTTGTATCTTCAAACATTTGTTTTCCATTTCTTAACATGTTATATAATTATCATTGGTCTTAAAGAGATAAACTGTTACTCAAATGAATTTGTCTAGTGTAAAAGCTGATTTCATTGGCAATTAAAATATATATCTCGACTGAGTAGAAAAGAAAGGTTCGCCATAAAATTAATTAACATATAAGGTCAGTCAAAACCATCTAATAATTTCTTTGATGTGCTGTGCGATCTACAAAAATGTTTAACAACAATATCAATTGCCAACAGTTCACAGCCTCATTTAAACAGCTCTTGATTTAAATTAGGGTTCAATTTTCAAATGCAAACTGCAGCATCAGAGATAAAACTCACATTTCAATAAATTTTAGATAATTCTTTTGCTCACTCCAGGACTTAAATATCTGACTAAAATTAAATTAACATTAAAATATGATTTGTTGAAGGGAAAACTAACGAATAGTGATCACGAATATGCAAATATTCCAAATTGCAGCATTCTATCTAAATACGAAAAAAGCTTTGATCTCATATATTGCCAGATATCTAGCTAAAATTGCATCAAAAAAGTATTTGCATAATATATATATATATATGTGTGTGTGTGTATATATATATATATATATATATATTGTTTTTTTTTATGTTTTTTTTTTACATTTTAAGTTTACATTACTTTAACATATCGTAATTCAATACTTTAACAAACACAAACAAGGTTTCTAAAAGAAGATCGTACTGATCTTATCATCAGAACCTTTTACAAGCATTTAGCATAATTATTTACAATGTATATAATCTATTTATAAAATTAACAGTAAAAGTAAAAAGTAAAACAAAAAGAGTCGTTACTTATAAAAAGTAAAACAAAAAGAAAAGTAAAACAAAAAGAGTCTTTACATATAACGTATTTTACAATTAACATAAAACGTATTTTACAATTAAAAAGTTCTAAATAAAGGTACATAATTACAATTAGAAGAACCTTATTATGTCATCGGAAAATAAAATAAAATTTTTGAGTTTATGTTTGAATATTGGAAAAGTGTAAAATATATCAAAATTTGGCAAAACAACTTTATTCCAAAGATATGGCGCACGATAAGCAATACCATACTGGTTAAACTTTGTTCGACAAAAAGGTTTATGCAAAAATTTATTATTTCTAAGAGTATATTTATTTATTGGTTTTTCACAAAAGAGAACTTTAAAGATAGGTAGGGATAAGTCATTTTTCCACAAATACATAAAGCATAAAACATTAAACACATTAAGTTCGTAAATATTAAGATTGTTCATTTCAATAAAAAAAGGTTTGGAATGAGTGTATCGATCCGCAAAATTAATTAAATGGATCGCATGCTTCTGACGGCGGTAAAGACATTGTAATTTGCTTTTTTCTGTGCTTCCCCAAGCAATATTTGCATAATTTAAATAGGCATGAATAAATGTGTAGTATAGTTGGGTTAAATCTTTTTTACATAGATATGTTCTCGATTTATATAAAATTCCAATGCTTTTAGAAATTTTTGTGCTAATATAGTCAATATGCGCTTTCCATGTGATGTTTTCATCAAGAAAAACACCCAAAAACCTTGTGACATAGTGTCTTTTTATCACAGTATTATCAATAAAGATTTCTGGTAAATTTTTGGGTAAATAAGGTTTTTTTGCGATTGGATGGAAGAGAATCTATTTTGTTTTGTTACTGCTAAGAGTTAGCTCATTGCATATAAACCATTTTGATATGTTTTTAAGTTCATCGTTCATACTAGAAAGAGTTTGTAAATATCATTCATTATTGGAAAGAAATAAGTTGGTGTCATCAGCAAACATTATACTCATTAAATTTGAGGCTTTATTTAGGTCGTTTATATAAATCAAGAACAACAGTGGTCCCAAAATGGAACCTTGGGGAACGCCACATGAAACATTTAGGAACTCGTTTGGATAACAACTATTACTAAAAACAAATTGTTTACGGTTAGATAAATAACTTCGGAACCATTTTATAACTTTGTAATTTATTCCATAGTATTTCAGTTTTTGTATCAAAATTTCATGATCTACAGTATCGAACGCCTTCGATAGTTTGATAAAAACACCTAATGTAAATTTAGATTTTTCAAAAGAATTTCAAATTTTACGTACAAGTTGGATAATTGCATGTTCCGTCAAATTATTTTTTTAAAACCAAAAGGAGATAATTCGCGAGGTTAGAATCATTTTGTTCTATCTCCACATTTTTTTGTTTTGAGATAAAACGTTTAAAAATTAAAAACTTTAGGAGACGGCATATAAAAAGATTTTTATTACTTATGTTTTCTCCGAAACTTTTTTGATTTTAACTTAGGTTTTAATATAGTAGAAAAACATTATTTTGAGGTACATTACACAATTAATAACTCATTTTTTTGAAAAAGTGGAGATAGAACAAAATAATTCTAACCTCGCGAATTGTATAATCTATTATACATAATGCGTTCTAGTATTTTTGAGAATGCGCAGAGGACGGAGATAGGACGATAATTACTGATATTTGTTTGATCTCCCTCTTTGAAAATTGGGGTAATTTTAGCAATTTTTAATTGATCCGGAAAAACTCCTTGGTGAATAGATGCTCCATAAACCTTAAAAAGTATATCTTTTAAATGTTCAAAACATTCTATAACTATATTACCGTTTATGTCATCTGCTCCGTTTGCTTTGTTTTTTTTAAGGGATTTGAATGCTTTTTCGAATTCATGAAAAGTTAGCTCAGAATATGATTCGTTGGAACTAATGCAATTATACATCTGTACTAGAAAATCGTTAAATGTTGCTTTGATATAAGGAATTTTATTTGCTAGTTTAGGACCAATGTCAGTGAAGAATTTATTAAACTCATGAGCTATAGCTTTTGGTTCGCATATGCGTCTGTTATCCATCTTTTCAATAATAGGAAAGTTTGCGTCATAAACGGAGTAAAAGGTTTCATAAAAGTCAAATCGTAAATTTTGTCTGCATTGTCATTGAAGTTAATATGCTTCCAGTGCAGTAACGATAGTTGGTTTTTAAACAACTTTATATTTGTATGGTTAAAAATGCGGATTTTAATTTTGTTCATTTTATTTTTAATTTCAGAATTAATTGTCAAGGATATTGGAAAATGGTCAGTTATATCAGATTTTAGGATACCTGTTTGAATATCATTGTTGAATATATCTGTTGTAATAATATTATCAATCAAAGACGCCGAGTTTTTTGTTACTCTAGTTGGCCTGTTTATTAAAGGAATTGCTCCGGCCTCAAAAAAGGAGTCGTAAAAGTTTTTAATTTTGTTTTCTTCATTATAAAGAAAACAATTCATATTTAGGTCTCCAATAATGAAGTTCTTTTTGTTTTTTATAATACCTTTTTTGAAAATACTTTGTTCAAAAAAAATTTTCAAGTTCTCGCTCACGCCGTCAGGTGGGCGATAACAACAGCTTAATATTATGTTTTTAGATTGATTGTTCATAATTTCGATAGTCAAAATTTCTTTATCGCTATCAGAAGCACTTAAATCATTCCTAACGTAATAAACAATATTTTCATTCACATATATAAGGACTCCTCCGCCGCGTTTATTTACTTGTCTTTTAAACGAAATTAATTTAAAATGAGGAATATAAAAGTTCGAAGTATTATCTATGTTATTTGAAATCCAGGTTTCAGTTAAACCATAGTTAATAGACTTAAACTGGTTTGGAAACACGTAACTTTGCGTAACAAAAACTATATTAAGTTGAAAATGAAATCACGTGACATTGACAGTGCACAACATATACATAACATAATATTCACAACATAATATACAATTTGAAGGAGGCTTTTGAAGGAGGAAACTGTAATAATATTTGTGATGCTTTTAGAAACTTTTGTAAAAATCACGAACTTGAAAGCTATGCTGAATATATTTTAGAAGATGAGTACTTTTAAAAGTTTTAAAAATTGTACATATCTAATAAACACTTATGAACGATATACCTGCTGAGAATGCTAACAATTTTAAATTAAACTTTAATATCGAGATTTTGTTTTCATTAATAAAAAATGTGTTTTGCAAGATTATGGGAGGCTTTTCTTAAGGCAATTAAATTGTTGAGCAATTTAAAACTCTTCTTAAAATTTGTTCTAGAAGTTTAAACGAGTCT